ATATTATAAACCCAGTCTAGCCAAAAACCATTAGGAAAAAAGAAAGCTTCTGGTCCAGGATTCCTTCTATGTAGCAATACTTATAAGACAGACAAATGAAGCAAGGTGGGATCAAGAGCATTTGGTTTATTTTCACAGGTAGCAATCACAAGAGAGGGAGGGGGTGTCCCACAGTTTCTGCCTTGTGGAGTTAATGTGTCCCCCCACTGAAGCCCCCCCGCCACCACTTTTGTGGACAAGTCAAGTCCTCCCTGTATAATCAAGTCCAAAGTCTACCCAGCTACCCGCCAAGGCAGGCTTATCCAGATCATGGCTTGCATTTGAAGGATTTCCAACTGTGCTCCTGGTTTTTACCTCTTTTATGGTTGCAAGAATCTCTTGCCTTGACAGCCTCTTTCTCTGAATCCCAAGTATCTTGTTGATTGAAATGTATTCTTCCCATGTGAGTCAGGTGTGTCTAATTCTACAGGTTTGACATAGTTTACTCTAATAAAATGCAACATAAAAGTATTCTCAAACACATGCGACCATATGATTATATGCTTTTTAAAATACCGAAAACATTGTAAGGTTCTTAATTTCACCTGTGTGCTACCTCATAAGTTCCCCTACAATATAATAACTTGCCCTCATTATTTCTCAATGCATTAGTAAACTGGCATTTGGATTTCAAGCTTCTCCACCTAGTTGTGGACTTTCTGTATATCTCTAGCCAGTACATCTATGATTTTCACACTCTAGCTCCTCCCACCCTGCACCTACATAGAAACAGCTCTCCTTCACATCCCTGCAAATAACTAGAATGCAGTATTACATTTCCTATTCTATCCTCAATACTACTTGTTTAATCTGAGCTCAGGAAGATAAATCGTTAATGAAAAGAAATACTAGATCATTTTTTTATTCAGCCAGTTCCTATTGGGCATTTAGTATTAACAGTTGCCACTGTGGCTGCTAGATATATTCTACCAAAGACACAGTCTCTGGTAAGTAAGCCTAACAGAGCTTACTTTGTACTGGACAGACAGGTGATCAATAAAATACAATGTAATCCATGCCACTATGTACAAGTACTGGCCCAAACCTGATATCTCGAATAATCAAAGGCTGTGCTCAGCTACAGTAAATATGCTCTGACAGTTACTGTAGCCCTGAAATGTGAACGTATTTCCTCGTAACTCGTGTGAATACTGTTTATGTAAACTATGTGATATAAATGTGCACTTGGCTGGGGGTGTACCTCAGTGGCAGAGCATGTGCTTAGCACATGCTAGGCTGTGGGTTTGGTCCTTAGCATAAATAAATAAGCACCTATTTCCAGCCATTTTAAAGATGGAGACTGATCTGGGGGCATCTTATCTGCAGAATCTGTTGCTTCATAAATGCATACATGAATTCAACCCAAAAGAGATTTAAATCAAGTAATACAAAAGGATGAAAGTGAGTGACTTTCACATTATTTAAGCCTAGAGCCTTACTAACTTGAATTATCAAACCATGCCTCTAAAGCCGAAATACAGTAGAAATAGTGTAAAGTGAGATAGGTCAAAGTCTACTTGGTTGAGTTCAGAGATTTCCCAGAGGAAGGAGCTCTAGAATAGGTATGACAGTTACTGGTAAAAATATGGAAGCAGTATTCAGTTCAGAAGGAGCTGTCGGCATCCTGACCGGGGGATACATGACATGGTGCAATCAAGGAGGCACAAAGAAATGTGCCTAAGTGTAGGGTGTGAGAAAGGAGGGATGTGATGAGAAAGTGTATGAAAATGATGAAAGACCTATGTCAGGTTAGGAGTTTTATCCTACAGGCAACGGAGAATTCTTCTAAAGAATTTTGGGAAGATGAGCTGGACATGTGGCTCAAGTGGTTGAATACCTGCCTAGCAAGTGTGAGGACCTGAGTTCAAATCCAAGTAGAAAAGTTTTGGGAAGACAAGAGACATGGCCAAATTTATGTTTTTGAAGTCATTTTAGGTGTGATGTCAAAAATAAATTGGAGGATTAAGATGACAAATTTTATATGTGCTTTACCACAATAAAGAGTAAAAACAAAAAGCAGATAATCAGTTGGAGGGTTAAAGCTGCAGAAAGAATCTGGGGAAAAGATGATGAAGACCTGGACCAGGGGGCCAGCAACTGGAATAACAGGATGGTGATGGATTCAGGTGACATCAAAGAATCAGGATGTGAAAGACTGAGTACATGCTGCACTAGGGAAGGGAATCAAATTTGAGGGTTTCAGCATATAGGAAGCCATTCCCTGGGAGGAGTACAAGAAGAAATTCAATTTGGAACCTGCTAAGCTAGAAGGTGTGTTAAGTCTTAGATGCCTAGTAGGTGGTTGGATGTAGCAAGTGTAATAGATAATTTTATTTGGGCAGCCAAATAAAATAAACCCATAAGAAATATCAGGTGAAACTGAAGTTGATGAATAGTCTGGCGTACTCTACTTTGTTCTTTTTGCTCATGAATTGTTCTAATAAAGAGGCATACAAAACTATTAAGCAATATTGTTATGAAAAAAGCCAAATATTTAAACATAAAAATGTGAAGTCAGAATTTGGGGTTAAGTGTGGTTGAATTAATTTATAGTATAAATATTAAGTCCCTACCACAGTAGCAGGCACACAGTAGATGCAAAATTAAATGTTCTGGAGAACCTTAAGTACATGTTTTCATTTTTCAATATCTGGAGGTACATAAAATGGAAAGCAACATACACACCTCTAAGTCAACACTTTTATTTTAAAAATAAAAGCTACTTAAATGCAGCACTGACTTCTGTATCTAACAATCTAATGGGAGAGAAGGAGGGAGGGAGGGAGGAAAGAAGGGGAAGAGAGAGACAGAGAGAGAGCTTCAATAAGTGACGTTATGTTGGTAGAAGACTTTGTATGTCTTTTCCCATATGGACAACACCTTGAACTTTCTTTCTTCACAATCTCAATTAGTTAGGATCCTTGGTGTCTTAAGGAAAATAATATTTCACTTAAAAGCATTTATTTGCCTTATTTGGAAACCTGGCAGTCATGACAATATACAAGTGATTGTCCAATGGGAAACTAAGAGTGGCCAAATTCACATCCTGTTCTACTGGGATGACTTTTGCTATGACATTACCAGAGCAGTGTAGAACTTACCTATCTTGGAGCAGATGACACCTCAGGGCTTTTTAATCTCTCTCTCTCTCTTTTTTTAACTTTTGACATCTCTGGGCTTGATTTAGCAACTACACAAACAGACTTTCAGTTTTATAAGAATGTTGCTAGTCAGCATTAATACTTTTCTTTAAGTCAAACTAAAAATGAACTGCTTACTAAATTCTAAACCCTGCTTCATCCATTTGCTTATTCATTCATTCATTCATTTTGATGGTATGGAGTTTGAACTCAGGGCTTCATGCTTGCTAGATAGGCAAGTATGCTTGAGTGACTCCATCAGCCCATTGGCTTTTTTTTTTTTTTTTTGTGGTGCTAGGGTTTGAACTCATAGCTTTGAGCTTTTGAGGCAGGCACTCTACTGCTTGAGCTACCTGCAGCCCCATTTGCTCCTTTAGAGCAATACTCAGTGAATCTGAGCACCCTGGGTGCCAGGGTAAATGCAATCCTCCTCTAACATAAAACCCTTATCTTTTCTTCTTTCCATAAATAACAGCCCAGGAGAGTATTTTCTTTGCGTTTCTTTGCATTGAAATGTCAACCTGTGTGAGTTAAAAAAAAGAAAAAAAAAGTAAACAGAAAACCTCACAAACTCCCAATGGATTTTTTTTTTACAAAATTTTTAAATGGCAGAGCCAGGTGCCAGTGGCTCACAACTGTAATCCTAGCCACTTTATCATGAGACTCCCCAGATTTGTAATAAATTTTCAAAGCAACAAATCATTTGCTTAGCTAAGTACTAGTACATAAAGAGGTATCCCACACGAGGCCAAGTTCAAACTTCAGTACCCCTAAGAAAAACAAACAACAAAAAAGAGATATCTCAGTGAAAAATTAATTTTTTATTAACCAAGTAACAAAAATCTAACACATTAACATAAATAATGTTTTTGAAAAGTGGCTTTTTCTAAAACAAAAAAAATTAATGGTGAGAAGGGTGTCATGTTTTACATTTTTGCAACTTTAATGTCTGACTTAACATAAGAAAGCTGGCTTCTCATACCTACTTTTGTACTCAGTCTGTTACAATATCACACATCAGATAGCCTCTGGGAAAATCCTCTGTATACTCATGAAAGAATGAGAGTGGAGAAGTTCAATGATGTCTTAGTATTACAAAATGGCTTTGGCCTTGAATACCTGAAATTCTCTGGAGGATCTCCTAGAGCACTGAGCACTAGTGCCACACAGTGTGATCTCATTAATGTAGAAGGACCCTGTACCTCAGGCACAGAAAGTGAGAAATTCAAATGGCCTGGCTTGTTAATGGTGGTATGCAGAGCTTAAGAGGGTTTGTCTCACTTCTTTTAATTTAGGTTCTCAGTCAGAAATCTGGAAATAGACCTACTAGCCTGTCCTGTTCTCTCTAGTTACACAAATTGTGACCCCCCCCCCAAAAAAAAATTCTTTTTAAGTAAAAGTGCAAAGGAAAATCAACAAACATGGTAAGTTCTACAATGGGCATACTGTTTAATTTGAATTATGGTCTCTATTTGAGCTATAATACCAAGTCAAATTCTACTGCACCCTACTCCATGCAAGCAGATAATGGTAAGTCACACAGTAAATGTCATAGATGAAAACATCAAGCAGATTAAGCACAATGTCCTTATTCATCACATTCTGTGTCTGAAATACAGTTCCGTGACATAGTCCACAAAGATTTTTTTCCAGGGTGCTGGTTATATTATTGAGACTACAAATGAACTGGCAATCTTATGGAACTTTTTAGATAAAACAGAGTTGTTTTGAAATGTAGATACTTTTCATTCCCTAACTAGAACTTATTTTGGTCTTTCTTTTTTTTTTTTTTTTTTTAAATGCAAGAATCTGCTTGGGCACCTAGAGATGATTTCCTTTGTACCCTTCCAGATGGTTCAGCTCCTCTTTAAATGGATCATAGCCTTGCTCCTTTAAACAACGGAGTCCCCAGAAAAGCTGGTCTAGAGGAGGAAATTCTTCCCAAAGAACCCACTCCCAACCTGGAAAAGAAAGAGACTGAGTCAGTGTATTTAGCTGTCAGAACATGGAGTAGTTACTTTGGTAAGCTAACCTATATTTACAAAAAACAAAAACTGATTTAAGAGTGATCTGGCCAGTCACCAGTGGTTCACATCTAATCCTAGCTACTCAGGAGGCGGAGATCAGAAGGATTGAGGTTCGAAGTCAGCCCAGGCAAATAGTTCTTGAAACCCTATCTTGAAAATACGTAACACAAAAAGGGCTGGTGTTGTGGCTCAAGATAGGCCCTGAGTTCAAGCCCCGATACTGCAAAAAAAAAAAAAAAAAAAGGAATGATCTGCCACTAATTCCAATAGTGATATTTTTTGCTAGTTTGTTGTACAAATATCATTTGCATTTAGAATGAAGATCTTAGGAAGAAAATCTCTGTCATTTGAAACATTGTGTTACTTCAGTAGAAGGCCAAGATTACAAAGCCATACCAAGAAAACCTGAATATTAGTGTTTATTTAAATATTTGTCTCAATATTTAATATTAAGTGTTTATTAAATACTTGTTTTAAAAATGCAAAGCACCTTCTATATTATATGCTACACTATATTTAATCAGTATCCTCACCTATAAAATAAAGTTTTACAAAATTTCTAAGTTGTCTTCCATCTCTTAAAAAAATAGAAGCTGCACAGAGAAAAAAAGTGTATATTTTAGACAGGAAAACAAATACAGAAGTAGCTGGTTTTTAAAAATTCCACTGAAACAGGAAAGATTTAACAGTAACTATCTGTTGGAAAATGCATGAAATATTAGAAAAGGATTCTATGAAGTGATGTTTTCTTTGATGATTTACATGTAAATAATATAAAAGCACATGTTATAGTCTGAATGTGCAATGTTTCTCCTAGAAGCTCATGTGTTGAATGCTTGCCTGGTCCCTTGCTGGTGGGACTATTTTGGGAGGTGGTGGGAACCTTAGGAGGAAGTAGGTGACCTCTGAAGGTTATACCTGTCCTTGGTTCCGTCCTCTCTCTTTCATGTAGGCAATGAGGTGAGAAGTCTCTGCTAGATGCTTCTGCCACCATGATGTTCTGCCTCCCCACAGGCCAAGAACATGGAGCCAACTGACCTTGGGTTGAAATTTCAAAAAAACAAAAAAAAGAAAAGAAATTTCTAAAACCCAAGCTAGGATGCTGGCACCATGTTACGTGGGCCCTTCAGTCAGCCACCAGCATCTTGAGTCAAATAAACCTGTTTTCTTTATAAATTAGCTAGCCTTGGGTATTTTGTTGTAGAAACACAAAATGGACCAAATATACACACCAGGCCATTTTACCGAGGCAGGGACTTTATTCTGCACACCACCATTTCTTTACTATCTAGAACAGTCTTGCATATAATACTCAATAAGTGTCTGTTGTCTGAAAATATTCTTCCATATTGGAGAAGAAATTAAATGTTTGGAGTAGAATCCAGTACATTACTAGACCACTTGGATAAAGTTTCAGATGGCAAAGAATATTCAAATTTTTGGTATTTTTTTTTCTTTAGCTCCTTTTCTCACAGTTTCATGAAGTTGTGAGGAGAGATGACACATGGAAAGCCCTTAGAACAATGCTTTTGTCCTTAAAGCTTTTAGAGCACTTAGTACAACACAGGGTGACAGACAACATTCTGTCAACAAAATAGTTTTCTGTAAAAGGAAGGTGTTACCTCTCCCAACTTGTTGAGAAAACTGAAGAAAGCTCATGAAATAGTCTCCTTAAAATCACAACCTGAAAAAATTAAACATTAACCCAAAGAATGAGCATTGACAGAATACTTTCTATCTTTCTATGTTCACTATGTGTATTAGCTCGTTTAATCCTTTCAAGGTAGTTAGTATTTTTTTTTTTGTTTTGGTGGTACTGGGGTTTGAACTCAGGCCCTTGAGCCACGTTCCAGCCCCTGAGGTGGTTTCTATTATCACAAGTGAGAAAAGAGGCTCAGGCATAAAATAACTTGCCCAAGGTCCCAGAGCACAAAGTGAAAAAACTAGGACACAAACCCAACCAGTGTGCTTCCTTCTGTCCTTCAGGATTTAAGTCTACTTACTGATCTCCACTGTCTTGGTCGGTTTGGGCTGCTGTAACAGAATACCCTAAATAAGGTGGCTTATAGATTTCAAGTATTTATTTTCTCACAGTTCTGGACGCTGGGAGTTTGGGCTTAAGACACTGGCAGATTTGGTGTCTGGTGACAGCTCATCTCCTCGTTCACAGACAATCATCTTCTCTCTGAATCCAGATATGGAGCACAGGGTGAGGGGTCTCTCTGGGGTGTCATTCATGGGGGAATTAATCCCATTCATGAGGGCTTATGCCCTTATAACCTCATCATACCCTAAAGCTCTCACTACTATTACCATCACTTTGGGGGGGGGTTAGGATTTCAAAATATGAACTTTGGAGGGACACAAATATGATGATAGATCCTTTTCAAATGGCAACAGAATGTAATATGCCTAGTGATGACAGGCTCTCTTTGCAGAAAAATGCATCACAGGAAGAAGAAAAAGAAGAGAAAAATGGGTTATTATATACAATTCTCTTACTTTCATTTTTTTCAGGTTCTACATTCTTTGGTTCTGGGTCATGAGTCACATCTACTTCTCCTTTCATTAATATAGTGACATAATGGTAATTCTCTTTCTCAACAAATGAATTCACCACTGAGGCAAAGCGGATGTTTTTCAGGCGAAGAGCTGCTTCTTCCCAGGTCTCCCTCTGAGCACATTCTTCCCAGGTCTCACTAGAAAACACAAACATTCGATTGTATTCAATTCTATATATTATTCAATCCTCTATATTTTGTATATTATTATTCAGTTATTGTTATATATGTGACTGTGTGTGTGTATATATATATATATGTATATATATATATATATATATACATATATATATATGCATGTCTTGTCTAGAAATTTCTAGTGTAAAGCAAAAAAAGGGCAGTAGTTTATACTTTAAAATGATTTAAAAAAAAAAACTGCCTTGACATTCTGCATGTCTTATATCTAGCTGAAGACCAAAAAGGACTTTATATTGAACAATAAAAATTACCATCCAACCCATTCCTTATGGCCATGCAACTAGAAGGCTGTTTAGTGTGTCAGTTTAAGAGCACAGGCTTTGGGGTCAACTAGATCTAGGTTGGAGCTTGAAGTCCTTTACTTTCTACCTCAAGTAGAAAAAGAAATATTAACTTCCTCATGGGGTTGTTGTAAGTGTACTGAAGTGTACTACTGATGTCTTTTCTAGTCTCAGAATTTCAGCTTAAGACTCAAAATTGAGGACAACAGGTAATAAGCACCTCTAAGTTCTCAAGAGAATAGAAGAGCAAACAGATGTCATCTGAACCTCAGGGTTTGCTAAAGAAGGCCAGACTAGTCTTTGACCCTCAGCCTGCCCAGGATACATAAGAAAGACAGAAGTTACCCAAAGAAATATTTCTCTTCCTCCCAATGGGTGGCCCACTCTTTCCCCCCGCCAAGTCAAGTGAGAGGCACTCTAAGAGAATGAGTCTTGGAAGCTAGGAAACACAAGTGAGTGACTCCCCTGCCAAAGACATACTGAGCTGCTGAAACCCAAAGGCCCACCTCAGTGCCTCAGAGCAGGGATGGGAGAAGAGGAAGAACTCTTGGATAAATTTGAAATGAGTCCCTTGGAGTTTCAGGATGTACATGAATACAGAGATGGATGCTTATTTCCACCTTGGGAATTTGGAGGGCTGTGCAAGGAAAAGGGGCAGCAGTGAAGATGCGTAATTTCTATTGTGTATTCCCTGTGGGCTAATCAGATACCACCAGATACTCCAATAGGGTACCCAATAGGAAGTAAATGCAGGGTGGGATGTTAGAAGCATGGGCTAGGAGAAGGGAAGTAGTATCACAAAGTCAGGGATACACAGACCAGGCACTGTGCAATACAGAAATCCTCATGGGACTTCCAAACAACTAGTAAACACACCCTAGAATGCACATGCCCAGATGGTGGGTACCACATGTACACAGAGGGCAGCAATTGGTGGATTATAGCAGCTACTCACATGAACAACTTGCCCTGTTCTTCTTCCCCTACTCACTACAGAAGGCAGGACAGACAGCAGAGTGAGGAGAGGAGCAAAGCTCCTACCTCCTTGCCAGATTAGAAACAGGAAGTGAGACTGAAGGTTTAAACTGGATTGGACTTTTAAACGCTTGGAAGTGAATCACAATGACCAAAATGTCATTTACTTTTACAAAATAAACACAGCAATAAAATTTATAGGAAATCTCATTGAGGAACAGAGAAAGGAAAAACACACATGTTTGAAGACAATGAAAGGACAAAAAAAAATTTCTTGTTTTCCCCCATCAAATTTAGCCTGCTTAATTATACAGTTATGGAAAGACCAATTGACCAGGAACCTGTGAGCAGGTTAGTGTGTATCCAGCACTTAGTAAAAACCTTGTTAAAGTTCAACATTAACTACGATCAATAAGTCAAGATCCCAACACTGTCTTAAGACAGCTATCTCTAGGGCTCAAGTGGTTGAGCACCTGCCTACCAAGTGAAAGGCCCTGAGTTTAAACCCCGGTACCACTAATAAAGATTTTTTAAAAACTAGATAGCTATCTCTAACCATTGTCCTATAATTATATATTCCAACTAGTGCTTAGTTCATGATCTAAGTTGGCTAATGCTAACAATAATCAATAAAGTACATGTATCGTTGTGTGGACAACTTGATTCTTTTTGTTGTTGTTTTGTTTTGTTGAGATAGGGTCTCACTGTGTAGCCCAGGCTGGCCTGGAATTCATGATTCTCCTGACTCAGCTTCCTGAGTGCTGGGATTACAGGCATGCACCACCACAGCCAACTGGCAATTTGGTTCTTAATCAAAAAAACTTAAAATTTATTAACTGATGGCTTATCTTAATAATCTGAAGGTGATAAACTTACTAATGTTTTTTAAAGTTCTGAAGACAATTTAAAAAATTTCATGTGCTGAAGATTATATGGATTTCATATCTCAATTTTTTTTAAAAGCCTGATTAAAAGGCACTAGAATCAAGTTTTTTTTTTTTGAATTTTATTTTTATTTTTATTTTTTTTCATTTTTCTTTTATTATTCATATATGCATACAAGGCTTGGTTCATTTCTCCCCCCTGCCCCCACCCCCTCCCTTACCACCCACCCCCCCTTCCCTCTCCCCTCCCCTCAATACCCAGCAGAAACTATTTTGCCCTTATTTCTAATTTTGTTGTAGAGAGAGTATAAGCAATAACAGGAAGGGACAAGGGTTTTTGCTGGTTGAGATAAGGATAGCTATACAGGGAGTTGACTCACATTGATTTCCTGTGCGTGGGTGTTACCTTCTAGGTTAATTCTTTTTGATCTAACCTTTTCTCTAGTACCTGTTCCCCTTTTCCTATCGGCCTCAGTTGCTTTTAAGGTATCTGCTTTAGTTTCTCTGCGTTGAGGGCAACAAATGCTAGCTAGTTTTTTAGGTGTCTTACCTATCCTCACCCCTCCCTTGTGTGCTCTCGCTTTTATCATGTGCTCAAAGTCCAATCCCCTTGTTGTGTTTGCCCTTGATCTAATGTCCACATATGAGGGAGAACATACGATTTTTGGTCTTTTGGGCCAGGCTAACCTCACTCAGAATGATGTTCTCCAATTCCATCCATTTACCAGCGAATGATAACATTTCGTTTTTCTTCATGGCTGCATAAAATTCCATTGTGTATAGATACCACATAGAATCAAGTTTTTCTTGTAGCAGGGAGGAGGACCAAAAGAGAAACAGACAGGCTGTGTTCTGATAGTGAGGCAGGGATGGCATAATAGAGAGATAAAACTTACAGAATTAAAACATGAAGAAGGTCACATAGCACTGGGGAAATGAAGTCACATGCAGCCACAGGAGGGTTGCGCTTTGCGTTTGCTTCTGTAACCTGCTTGCAAGGGTATATAAGGTGAGACCCCTTTGTTCTTGGGGCTCAACATTTGGACACGAGTCCACTGGGTCCGTGCCAGCACAATAAACGTTGCTTCCTGCTAATCGGCCTCAGTGTCCCCTATCTCAGCTTGAGACTCCCACGGCATTTCTTGGGGGCTCACCCAGGATTGTGAAGACAGTGATCTGTCACCTCCCTTGTCACTGGGGTGCATCCCCCAGACCGCCAGGAGAAGATCCCACCAGGCGCCAATGGACAGCTTGATCTGGAGGAGGGATCTGTCCTCCCAGTGAGTCAGGGTGAAGGCCTTGGATGCACAACGGAGCCCAGTGAGGCACAGAGACCAATGAGGGGAGGGAAGCACTGCTCATCGAACTGGTAAGAGCCTGGGTTCGAATTCAGGCCTGCTTCAGGAGTCAGGAGGGGAGACTGATCACCTCCCAGAGACTGCTAGTAACCACCTTTTGGGGTGAAACCATGTCTCTTAGGTTCAGGGAGTGGGGTGGAAGTTCTGTGCTGTGTGAAAGTGTGTGAAAGTGCGAGCCTGAGACACAGCCCAGCTGCAAAGCGAGTGAGGAGTCCCAATGTGCAGGTCCACGGCGGATTAATAAGATGAAGGGTGGGCCCCAACAGGGCCTCCAGTCCAGGGTTTATACGAACTCACTAGGGCCAGAGACACACCTAAATCCCTGCTAGAGGAGCAGCCGGAGATGGACAAAGTGAGTGTTCTTTCGATCCCCACCTCCCCTGTGTCTGTCTTGCTGTCTGGTAATGGCAAGAGATGGGTGGAAATCAGAATTAAAAACACTCCCTTGGAGTATATGGTTAAAAACTTTTAAAGGGGACTTAATGGAGACTATGGAGTTAATGCCTAACAAACTCAAGGCCCTTTGTGAGGTAGACTGGCCTGCTTTTGGTGTAGGATGCCCCCAGAAGGGTCACTGGATAAAATGGTGGTTAATGAAGTTTATAGAATAATAGTAGGGAAGCCTTGATACTCAGAACAATTTCCCTGTATCAGCTGCTGGCAGGATGCTGTCCTCTGCAGCCCACATGGCTAAGGCCTTACCTGGAAGAGGCCTGAAGAATTATGGTAGCTAGGGTGGCCACAGCTTCCAAGTGTAGAGAAAACTTCCTGTACTGGCTGAGGAACCTGGGGAAACACCACCACCCTATGTGCCACTTTATCCACCTCTGCCACCAGCACCCAGTTCTGCACCCCTGCCTCTGACACTGGATGGGGAAACTAAAGGGACAGTCACATCTGTAAAATCTGGTTTGGATGCTTCTGAGGCCTCAACTCCCCTGACCTCCCTGAGTCCTAAGGACTCTATACCCACTCTGAGTCCACCAGTGCTCAACCACATTCCCCACTCCATTGAGAGCTTCTGACCAGTCTCCGTGAGGACTCCTCCTCTCCTCAGACTCCAGATGCCCTGCAGATGCCCCTGAGAGAAGTTCAGAGCCCTATGTATTATGACCAGGAAAGCCAAATACAAGGAGGACAGGTATTTGTCTATCAGCCCTCTACCACCACAGACCTCCCCAACTGAAAACACCATACTCCCTCCTTCACGGAAAACCTCAGGCTCTGATTGACTTGATGCAGTCTATCATCCAGACTTACAAACCCACATGAACAGCTTCCTCTGACTCTATTTAATACTGAAGAGTGACGCCTTATAATTGGCAGTTCTAAAGTGTTTAGAAGATCATGGCCCTGAGAACACTCTAAACGCCCATGCATATGTTCAGACTCAGTTCTGAACATGTCCAACCGCATGGTGGACACAGGTGCTGAACATTCAG